ACTTATTGCTTGGACGGAGGGAGTATTTGCTAGAAAATTCTATTTTTATAACAAAAGAGTTTTACCTACAAAATTATTTTTCATAACTAAAACCATCTGGTTAAAAGAATCATGCATATTTTGTTGCTAAAATTTTTGTTAAAAAAAAAAAATTATAGCAAAAGAGTTTTAGCTATGAAATTATATTTTCATAGTTATATGTCTTTTCTTTAATTTCATTGCAAAAAGTTTATTCTTCGTTACGAAACTCATATTTTTCGCCAAAGACCTGTACTAACGCGGTATACGCGATGAAATGAGTTTCGTCGCAAAAATTTGCTTGCTATGAATTTATTACCTCTTGTTACGAAATTTTTGTAGCTAAATTTCAAGTTTTTTGTAGTGACATTCAACATAAAATATTATTTTTATATTAGCTACACAATTCTATAACCTCGCATAATTATTATTCAACATAAATATTATCACTACAAAAAAATAATATATTTGTAACGGAATTTCATCCCTAAAATTCACGTAGCTAACGTAATTCTATTCCTATTTTCGTCTCTAATGTCATTAGTAACGGAAAAAATAGATTTAGAGACAAAAAAGTTTTGTTACAAAAATAATTTTTTCTTGTAGTGTATAGTATACAATAATACCATATAGATGAGAATAAAAAAGTGAGAAGAAATAAAAATCTAAATTCTTCAATTATTTTACAAAACAAATTGGATTTGAAAATATAAATTCCAGATAATTTTACAAACAAACACATAATTGAATTCCAAATCCTAAACGCGCAATAAATTTTATCACATATAAATTTTACTGTGAAATCTCAATCCCATTAAAAAAAAAAAAAAAAAAAAAAAAAAAAAAAAAACTCAATATGTGAACCAGAGAGAAATTAAACAAGTTTTCAAAGAAAAAAAGAATGTGATAAATACTTGCACTTACTCTCAATCACTGCCTTTAACACTTTTTGGACTTATTAATTCACTTATTTTTATAATGTCAGACTGATGGTTCTAGAACATTGAATACATATGATTTTTATTTATTTATTTATTTAGATTTTCAATTTATTCTTAGATGCCCATTTTCTTTTTATATAGATTGAGGGTGTTTGTAAAATAGATTTTTGAAGAGATTTTAGCAATTTGAAAAACTTTTAGTTGTTTAACAAGTAAAAATAATAATTTAATTATTTGTTAAATTAGTTTTTTGAAATATTCTATTGACCTAAAAGCTAATTATAAAAGTTATCTTGCTAGCGTTTTCACTCTAATTTTACTTAATATTTTTATATTTGTCTTTAAATTTTAATTATTTTCCTTACAAAAATATCAATATATTTTTATTTATTATCTTTTATTTTTGGTAAATTATAATTTTATTTTTAAATTTCAACTAATTGAAATTATTAATTATTCTATATATTTTTATTTTATTTGTAAAATATATTAATTTGTTAAATTAAGTAATGATATAAATATTATTAATTTTTATATGTAGTTTTTTATTATAGAAATTGTATTAAAAATAATTCAAATAGAATAAATTTATTGGAAAGTGTAATAATAAATAAAAAAATTATTAATATATTAAAATATATATACTTCTTTTTCTATATTTGAATCAAACATAAATTGCAGTAATAGAAAAAAAAAAATAGATACTTTTGGAGCCTAAATAATCAATACATTAATTAACTGCACCCAAATTCGATTTGAACCTCATAAAGCCTTAATCACGGAATAATCTCTAATAACTGAATAAGAACAATAGCCCCGCCACATGAAAGAATACAAGAACTCTAATCAGATATTTGAGTTTTTTTGGTGTTTCTTCAAAACAAAACAAATCTAAAAATAAAAATAAAAAATCAGAAATGCTTACACCTACTCTACTAGATTTTTACCCTTTTCGGTTCAAAGAATTTTATAATATTAGAGGGATGGTTCTAAAATATTGGACATATATATATTAGTTATTTATATTTTAAATTTATTATAAATCCTTTTTTATTTTGTTATATTATCTACATAGTTAATCTCTTATAATCTAATATGTTTATTTCCTATATATTTATAAATACATTTTTTATATATAATTTAATTACTTTATTAGTTTGTTTTATATATTTTTATATTCATTTTATATATATTACTATAATTGTTTATAATTAATATATTTTATTTGTGTTTGTTTTTTATGTCAAATAAATTTTTTATGATTCCATCTGCACTTTGCAATAAAAAAATATATATCATTTACTCTCACAAAATATTACATGAATTACTACTTAAATCAAAATAAAAATAAAAAATTGTACTCGGAATGATACGAAATTACTATAGACCGATAAAATCACACACTCAAAAATAACTATGTTGGACAAAGTATGTGATGTACCCTTTTAACAATTGCTAAATAAACTTCTTCAAATTTTCAGTTTTCAAGTTGCTTAATTGAATTTTTTATGTATAGATCTGTATTACTAGTTAATACTTAAAGTTGTCTGTTAATTATAAAGATAATAATAATTTAGATTTTATTAACCTTATAAAAAAATGTACTCATTTCATCTATATTATAAGTATATATTTATTTTTTGTATGAAGTTTAAATATATATTATATTTTGATGATAGTTGATAATGATTTATGTGTAGTATGTAAAGTTGTTACGAAGGTATTGATATAAATAAATATAGAAATGAAAATATTTATAATATATAGTAGGATTCATACTTACTACGGAAAAAATGGATATTTTTATTTGGACGATCAAATTTGACCAACTATATAATCACTAAGTGAACGATAAATTATATTACATCTGTTTTGCTTTAAGGTCTCATTTACTTTTTGTGTTTTCATATCTGAATATTAATTATTAAATTAAAACGTAGTACAAATTATAAAAAATAATAATAATAAATAAAAATTTGCAAAATACTTTCATTAGTGTCTTATAATACTAATAGAATCACATTTGTACAAAAAAATTTACGAATATTTTTAAACAAAATAATATTCTCCTCTTCCACTTACTTTAAATACTTGTTTTACTAGGAAAAATTTTAATACAACAATTAAAACATAAAAATCTCTTCGTAGATAAGAGTTTTGTAAATTTCTTTTTTTTAAAAAAAAACAAATTAAAATAAAATTGAAATCAAGACTTTGTTTGATTTACATTTTAAATTTTATATTAAAAATAATATTTTATTATATTACTATTTCATAAAAATATATATAATTTAGTAAAAAAAATTATATAAATTAAATAGTAATAACTTTAATTTCAAATAAAATCCAAGCATACCCTAATATTTAAAAAAATAATAAATAATTATATTGAATATTGCATTTTATATAAAAATAAAATAAAAATTCAATATTTTAAATAAATTAAATTAAATATATATTATAATATTTAAAAATAAATAAATACCCTAATATATAAAATAAAATAAAAAAAAAAAACCTATATTAAATCTTATATTTCTTATAAAAAAAGATAATAATATTTTAAATAAATTAAATATATATTAAATTCCCTTCTATTCTAATTCAATAGTTTTGATGTATATTTTGGTTTGACACAAAATTATAATTTATTTTTCGGAGTTGGATTGGGTGCTAATTTTTAAATAAATTAAACATATATTAAATTTCCTCTATTCTAATTCAATAGTTTTGATGTATATTTTGGTTTGATCCAAAATCATAATTTTATTTTTTTTCGGAGTTGGATTGGGTGCTGATTTAAACTGATTTTTTTAAATCGGTACCCATGGTGATTAGTGTAGAATTTATATATATATTTATATTAATTATATAATTTATAAAATATATTAACTTAATTATTTTTTAACTTAATCAGCATGTTAATAAAATCAGCATCCAATCCAAACCCTTATTTTTCTAAATAATCATATTATCATAAATTTGTTTTATTATTTTATTATTATTATATAAATATACTATTATTTTTTACACTAATAGTAACAACGTCAACAAAATTTTTAATTTATATTTTTTACCAAGTATTAATATAATATTATATATTCTTTAAATCTAGCGTCCAATAGATTAATATTTAAAATATAAATAAATAAATAGTATAAAATTTTTTCAAACGGGACAGAGATAAATATTTAAAATATAAATAAATAAATGGGACAAAGATTTTTCAAAATTGTGCATAATTCTCCTAAAATCCCTAATTTGCAAATTATTTTCCTTCTTAGTCTATGTTTATATATTTGTTCTTTTTAACTCTTTATTTATTCTTCATAATTTTTCATTTATAATTTTATACATTTTTATCTATAAACTTCCAATTTTGTCCTCAAGAGTATTTTATTTATAATTCTATATACCTATTATAATCCAAAATCCTTATTCATGTAAACAATATTAATTTTATTATTTCTTTTTTCGCAAACCGACGACGAGAGGTACTAAATATTCGAATTACATATTTATTAACTTATTTATATCTTATTCAATTTAAGATTAATATTCTTTATAAATACTTTGTATTAAGATTTAATATTTGTGAATATTTAAATATATATGAAATTTATTTGTAAATATTTATATATAAAATTAACTTACTTATTATTTAACAATATTTGCAAAATTGTGTGTCAGATACTTTATTCGATCAAAATTAATACTTTCTTATAAATATTTTGTATTATTATTCAAGGGTTAAAAATATATTTTTTTTTTATAATTATTTATTTTCCATATTGTTGTCTATCTATTTATTTATTTATTTTTTAATGGTAAAAAAATAAAATTATATGGTAAAAATTAAGGAGAATATAAAAATTAAAAAAAAGATGAAGTTAATAATAATAAAAAAAAGATCAATAAGAATATTGTAGAAATTTTAAGTGAATAAAAAATTAAAAAAAATAAATTAATAAAAATAGAGAGTAAAAAAGAAAAATTTAATGTATAAAGAGTAAATAGAAAATTGAATTTAGAATTAGAGAGTTTAGTGAAAATTATCCTAAATATATACTCCAAAGAAAATGACAACAAAACAAATAAAGAATATTTGCAATTATAATAATAAGAAGACGACCATGAAGAAGCAGACGGGACATTAATAAGATTGAGCAGATAAAATTCCGCTGAGCTGAACTGAGCTGCCTTCTAAAAATATTACAGAAAAATATGTTAGAAAGAATCGACCCTTTTGTACTGCTCTCTCTCTCTCTCTCTCTCTCTCTCTCTCTCTCTCTCTCTCTCTCTCTCTCTCTAAAAGCTCAGCTCATTGTTTTTCAAACCCAATAAACAATAGAAATAGAAATAAAAATATATAAGGATGAACTGAATACAAGTAACTTTCCCCCATCCATTACCAAAACCAAATTGTCAAAAAAATAATAATGACCTCAACTGCATCATCTATCTGATAGTTCTACTATGTCGACGAAGGAGGAGGAGCAGCAGCCGCAGCCGCAGCCGGCGCCATTTGATTGGGGCGACGACTGCCCCGACCCCTTCCTTGTTGATACCCTTCCCCGCGACCGCCACTGAAGTTTCCACGACCTCTGAAACTGTCATTTCTCACATATGTTGTCCGGCTGTTGTTGTTGTTGAAGTTTCCACGACCCCTGAAGTTTTCATTGCGGAAACCTCCACGTGGAGGGGCAAATCGACCTCTCCCACTCCCGACTGCACAGAAATATGATGCGTAAGCAAACTGAAATCAATCACATAATTGTTCAAAATACATCACATCCTAAGCCACTTTTACTGTTGCATATAGGAGCATAGAGCACTAAACAAAACTACTAATCGGCCCGACTTTGGCATGTATTTCTCAATGGCACTAACAGGTAAGGACCAGCATACTAACCCCCTAGTTCAGAAATGGAAACCATCTTCGAGAACCAGGATATAGTGTACCTAGTGGAAATATTCAAATAAATTTAAGTCCCAAACTCACCTCGAGTAGTGGTTTTCTTTATCTCCGCATAGGCTTGACGATCCCCAATTGTGATGGGAGAAGCCTAAAAATTAAATAAATTGTCATCATGAGAAAAAATATAAATTCATAATTAAACATCAGAAAGACAATTGTGTTTCATTTAAACATCAGCAATCTGAGTAAATAACATATTACAGAAGCTCTCAATTATGCCCGGGTAAAAATGCAAGCTACAAGGGAGAGCACAAGCACGCATATTTCAGTAGGTCCTAATTAACAATCCACTGCTAAAAGGTAAATACAGCATCAGCCAATGTGCTACAAACTACAAGGCAATTGTGTTTCTTTTACTTGGAAAGGAAGGCTATGAAAAATGGTTTATTTACCTGCAATTTGCTCTTGCAAGATTGCAGTGTAATAAGATCGAAAGGCACGCAGAACAAGGATTCAGCCACTAAACAACATGTAAATACTTCTATACCTATTATTTATTATATATATATATATATATAAAAATCCTTGATCATTCCGATCAAAAAAACAAAAAAACTACATGTAAAATACATTCTCACAAGCAAAGGTATAGAACCATAACATAATATTGGACTGGAGTTCAAACTAAGGAGCTCTTCGAAGTTATAACGAGAATGACTAACTCTACAGCTTTACCAATTATCACAACAAAGCAGCTGTTGAAAGAAAATACTAAATGCCAGTAATGGAAGACAAATACTATACCAAACAAAAAGCATGTGCGTGAGCAGTATTTCAGCACTTTAAGAAACTATGTGCATAACTTTCGTGACATGGAGGCAGCGATCAATATATAATCTAGAGTTCGGATGCAGTAAGAAAGACAGCCAAACAAACAGAGGGGAAAAGAAAAAAGGGGAAAGAAATCTTAAGAGCACAGACCTTAATTGCATTTTCCATGGAGCTGAAATCTTGAAACTCAACAAAGCCAAAACAGAACCCTTGTAGCTGTAAAAAGGGATGGAAGTTAAAATCAGTATTAAAAGATGTTACGTAAATACAAAAATGCAGTATGAATATGTTGTGTGATTAGGCCAACCTTGTTACTTCTAACTTGGATCCCATTTGGCTTAATAGGTCCAAATTTCTTGAACACAGCTTCAAGCTGAGCAACTGTTGCATTTAGAGGCAAGCTCCGGATGTATATGGAGTGACCCTCAGCTGTAAGCAATTAATCACATAAGAGAAAATAAGATCCATGTAATAATACTCAAGAAAAATTTTAGACAGACTTTATATCTTGGAGACCTTCAACACTATGTGTTTTCATTTTTTTTTTACCTTCTATATAAATGATATAAGCAACAGAAGTCTATACCTTCCTCCTGAGCATCATTAATTTCTGGGTCACTAACAGGAGGTTGGTTCACTGATGTTTCAGAAACCAAGGTCTCCTGAGGTGGATTAACGGATTGCTTCACAGTCTTTGTAGCAGGTACTCTTGCCATGCTGGTAGGAACATACATTTTGGTGGGTCCTTTCTTGGCTTGTGAACTAAGAATTGATGCATATGATTTCTTTTGGGTATCCTCCTGAGATGTTGTGGTGGCTGATTCTTCTTCTGTTGCTGCGGGATGGTTTTCACTTACATGAGGTTGGTTTTCACTTAAATGAGGTTCTGCCTCCACCACTATATCCCTATGGTGACTTTCTGGCCTATCATTTGTCACTTGGTTATTTTCCTTCTCAGCATTCACAGTTTCCTCCACTTGAGGAGGAAGTGCAAAGTCGGGTTGGGGAGGATCAACCACCTCAGCAGGCTCTGAAAGCAAAATGAAGATTATAAATAAGTGTCATCAGCCACATAAGATGTTAAAAAAATAAACAAATCCAACCTTCATCTAGTGCCATTGTGCTTGATGGTACGTCATCAACTTCAACAGCCGCCCCTGCACTTGCGGTTGGTTCACTTCCCTCCTCATACCTGAAAACATCGTTTAGAACATAGTACCCTTTATCTTGAGGGGCAAGAAAAAATGTCTGTGCAAATTTCCTTCTAACGTTGTCCTTTCCAGTCAAGCACCCAGTAACAAGAACAATAACTCCCTCCTTAAAAGAATCCTGAGCATCAGCAGTCTTTATCTCTGCCTTGTAGTTCTTGTAGTCCAAGGAGCATATTATATCATTTATACTCTGGTCCAGTCAGAAAATAGATAAAAATGTCGTCAATTGTTGCATTCGCATCAAATGCTAAATTTGTGAGTTAATGGGATTAAGAGTGAGGGCATAATTTCAAACAGGAACTGTTCAGGTGGATGAATCACAAGTTCAACAAAGATTAAGGTCAATGCTCTGGGAAAAGGTGATTAAAAACTGATGCATTAATTCTCCCTTTTTCTGGTGTAGCACCAGGCAAGCCAGTCAGGGCAAATATCACACTAGAAATCTGAGTCTTTGGTGATACATAACATCGTGTTTCTGACTAAAAAAGACGAGATGTTGAAAATTTTACAATTTTTGGCGTTTACACATATTCCCATTAATACCAACAATTGGATGGACCCTGCAAGCAAAGTTTATCTCCGCCAAGGGTGTCACACCCCGTCTTGGAGATGTTGTGACAATTTAGTGGGATTACTGCTACATCAAAGCCATTATACTAAACAAATATGTATTTCACTTTCAAACCAAAGATTTCACACTTTGATGACATTCAAATAAAGTGCAACAAAACAAACCAAGTAAATTCCAACAATAATCTTCCAAATATTTACACCAACCCCAGAAGTCAGTATTTTTATATTGTTCTACTTCACCTGCATGCACTTGATCTAACTAAATGAGCACAACCCTAAATAGTTGAATAATTGCACATGTAAAAGGGCTTTTCAAACATGCGGTTTTATGCAAAAACACGTGAGGGCAGCTGTATGAATATCCAAGCATACGCGCAATAATTTGACGAACAAAGACAACTTTATTTACAAATAATAGGGTATGGTTCGAAACACATTTCAATAGTGTGTGAAATAATTCCAAAAAACATTGCTTTATGCTCTTCTCCTATAGCCCGCTTATGCATTTATCTTAAATGGCAAGGAAGATCCAAAACAATCACTAGCTAATTTACTGGCACAGACAATCACAGCTTACAATCTAGAAACAAAAATCAAAGAAGGAACTTGCATTAGAATCCTATATGCCAGGAACACTACTGGAGTTCCAATTCCACCTTATAACTGAATATTTCAATTCCTTTAAAATTGATTTCATAATTTCAGAAGTAGTTCACTGCCTTAATGTGTTAAAGTAATCTATCAGTGATTGCATGGGATTCTCAATTTGTTATTACTACTCCACTCCAATATTTCCTAAACCAAAATGGAAAGTCAACCTAAAACCCATTAGAGATGAAGACCATAGGGATTTGAGAAACTCACCACATGGCTTAATCTCACTGTATTAGAATTATCTGGATTGTGGGGGCATTTGCAAAGAATGCTCTGTGATGAGAGAATAATGGCATCATGGGTTGATTCAAGGAAAACACGTTGCTACTAAACCAACAAGAATGAAGATAGGGGAAGATGAGGTAGTTTATGGCTTGACTTGCAATGGATTGGTTAGGCCGCCTATTCTTCTATTTACTTTATTACTATTATTATTTTAGATCCAATAGGGGTGGGCCATACAGGGGGAGCCAGCCCGGTTTCTGATCAGATACTATACAATAGCAGGCAATGTAACCAATCCTATCTTGGCCTTGCTGGCTATTGCGGACTTGACCAGACTTATTCACCTTCCTTGTAATATTAACTGTTTTTTCCATTCTTAGTTTATTGGCAGGTCTAGACAATGCTGGGTCTATGATTAAATAAAAGAGCTGTTAAGGTTAGCTAGGTATCAGTACTTGAGGATGAATAAAGTTTTACGGTTAGGGTTATTCCAGAAACCTATCTTGTGTCTTGAGCGACACCTATTGCTCTGGATACTGGATAGGGTGGTTTATATTCTTCCTATCAATTGTGATCAGTAACACTGCTATGTTCTATGAAGCATTGGATATATATTTATCAGTAAAAATGTTTCTCTACACATACCGATAAATATAAATACCCTTTATCACATACAAATTCTGCACCCTAAAATTACAAATCCAGAAATTAAATGAACTGAAAACACTAAGCAAGAGCATGTTATCACAGTATCACGCCATGTCACTCTAAGCACCCATGCACATAACATTGGTATATCTTAAGCTTAACTATTATTCTACTTGATTCTGTGCATAGAGATTACAAATGAATGTAAAGTGTAATGTAAGAGAAGCTTAGAATATTCGTAGTATTCTGGACAAATGAGTACCATAGAACCCCAGAGGATTTTAGAAGATGAACTTAATCTCTAGTATTACATCCATAGCCACCTATTGCTGAGGAGGTAGAATGGTATAACTAAAATAATTATTTATACGATAGTGCTAAAAGATTTTTTAATTATTACAGTATAGCACCAAATAAAAGGAGTAAAAATCTGCAGAATAGATGAACAAAGTCATGTACATACAACTAGCTGCACATGCATAAACCATGCAGAAATCTGTGAGACAATTACAGGTCATGTTCTTTCTAAAGTAAGATAAACTAGGAAAGATTTTCAAGACAAAATGGATAAATGCTATAAATACAGTAAGGTAAATTCTACTCAGTAATAAACGTATAAATGAATAAGGAAACAACCATATCATGTACAAAATTGAACCCCAGAAGTCTAAATATAACTTACATTCATAGTGGTCACAGTCGTCATAAGACCATTTGAGTCTGGTCGACTCAACACACTATTGTCCTGGTAAAACCGATATACCAGCTCAGGAGAGTGATGCAGTATATGATAATACTGCTCCACAAAAGCATTTCCAACCACTTGAGGAGTGGGAGCTGCAGCAGGATTCGCAGTTGGCATGGCCATTCCGACAGAGAGCTAATAAACAACTCAAGTTAGAATACAATCCCTTAAGAACTCCTTCATAAACACTCCAAGAGATATTGTACAAAAATGCCCCCAATAAATGTGAATTTCCGTGGAGCATTGTCCCCATATATAAAAACCAAAAGAAAAAGAAGAAAGGAAGACATCACAATCTCACCCACACAAGTTGGCAGTTTCTGGTATCAAAAAAGTCTAATTAAAAATTGACAAGAAAACAGAACCCTACTAACCTCCAAATCAACCCTAATCCAGATATCCAAAAATAAGGATCATCGTTTAGCCAGCCAAAAAAAAAAAAACCGAAATGCTTATCATGGACTAAAAAATAGCAAAGATCACAGTTTTTTTTTTTACTTTTCCTAGAAACCCTAATCACATAATTCTGTACCATACGATAAACCCTCAGAATTCCCCGCAGGTATGCGAAAACCTAAATTCGAACAATGAACGATAAAACATACACACAATGATGTTTTCAGTGGTTCAGCCAACAGATCTAACGCTAATTGAACTCAACCACGAAACCCACGAACCAAAACCAACAACAAACAAAGACAATCACGAAAAAAAAAAAAAAAAAAAAAAAAAAAAACCCATCATGTAGACCATAGAATTTCGACCAATCGAAAGAAGTGAAGCACAAGGTTCACATTCGTCAGGATCGCCGCGCGCGGGCACAAACACTAATCCGAGTAATATTAAATCGAACAAACTTAAGTGATCCGATTAATGACGAAGTAAGTCGATTATTACCTGATTGCAGGAAGTTAGCTAGGGATGGAAGCGGGAGAGGAGAGAGACAGCAAGCAATGCGAGGCGAGGCGAGGCGGGGCGGGGAGATCTTGGAGAGAGAGCGTGTGATGTGAGAGAATCGGGTCGGCGTCGAGAATAAAATTGCAGTGTAGTTTTGCGTTGTGTTGAAGACGAAAGACTGAGAGAGGTAAGGGGTTGGGGTCTTTGTTTCTAAGTCCTCTGGATTTAGATTTGGATTTGAATTTCTTAATTATAAAGATTTGAAATCAAATAATTAAACCGAATATAATATTTTAAATATAAAATTTGTTTTTAATGTCTCATATGAGAAATTACGGAAAAAAAATAAAATATATTATATTCCTTTTGTTTCGGTTATCATTTTTTATTTTTGTATGTTTCAATTTCGTTACTATTGTACTATGTATAAGATAATAAATATCATTTCAACTTAATTACACTATAAACTAATAAAGGGTATTTTTGTCTTTTTTATTATAATCCAATATAATACTATTCTCTCCGTCCCACATACTGTGTTTACTACACCGTAGAGACGGTATTTTAGGAGGGGTGTAATTAATAGATAATTAAGAATATATTGGTGAAAATAATTATCCTATAATATAAATAATTATAAATTAAGATTAAGATAACTAATTAGTTTATTTAAAATTAAAAAATTTAAAATGAGATTAAAGTGTGTAATCATTTTCCAAAGAAGGAAAGTGACATGGTACGTAGGACGGACAGAAACGCAACGTGGATATGATATGTGGGACGGAGGGAATAATATTTAAAAATCTACGACACCCTTCCAATGAGACATGGCGTAATAAATTATCTATTTTTTCACTTTTTTTTAGTAATGAAAGTTTTTTTTTAAATTTTTTAAATAATAAATTTGAATAATTAATTAAATTTTATTATAATAACAAATAATCTAACAAAATACATATTTATTGAGATAATAATTAACAAAAATATAGATAAAATTAAGTCTCGTATTTATATATATCTAAAAGATTAAGTCAAAATCGTCTCAACAAAAATTATTATGAGATTTTCATCCAACGTAGGTTCGGAAGCCTTTTCAAATAATGGGATTATTGATTAGATATATGTAGTTCGACCCGAGTAACAAAATTTTTAGGTTTGTTTTCTTGATTTTTATTTTTTTTTAAATATGTAGTTTTCGTTGGATGATTTAATGATAATTGAGCATATTTATATGTTTTTCTTAAAAATTCTTATATTTTATTTTATTATTGTGAACTTTCTACTTTTGGTTTGGACAACGTCGTAATTTTCTTTTTTCTTTTTTTACCTTCAAGGGTTTTCAAGTTAAATTTTTTTTAACGTATTTTATTTATGTATATAATTTGTTATCGTTGAAAGAGAGTTAAAGATTTTCCACATGAAAAAATATTATTATCTTTTTTATTTATTATTTATGCATATAATTTCTTATCATTTTTTTTACATAGTGAAAATTTTATAGTAAATTTGTTTTCTTTGACTAATAAATTTTACACTTAATTATACTAAACTTTTTAGTAATTAATTTTTTTATCTATACTATGATGCAAAAAAAAAAATTTAAAAAAACAAAGAGAAAAAAAGAATGAAAAGAAAAAAATAAAAATAAAAATAAAAGAGAAAGAAGAGAGATAGGAAAAAGGAAAAAAAAATAGATTAGGTATATAGTACTTCTTCTTTTTTGTTTGTTTATTTTATTTTATTATGTATAATAATATTATTAAATTAATTTTACTTTTGATCAATTCTTTTTTATTCTTATTATATATTTATTTATTAATTTATTTAATTTCAAGTATAATATTTTGATACTTTGTTATTATTGTATATGTATATTTTAAAATTATCTATTATGCTATTCTTATTTTTTACTAATAAAATATTTTTCATTCTTATTATTTAAGTATTTACTATTTTATTTAGTTTCGAGTATAATATTATAATATTTCATTATTATTGTATATATATTTTTTAAAATTATTTATTGTATTATTCTTATTTTTTATTAATAAAATATTTTTCTTATTCTTATTGAGTATTTATTTTTTCTAATTGATTCGATTTTGATTATTATACTATAGTATATTTTTCTGTTTAAATTTGTAGTCTTTTGATTTAAAAGAAAATTTAAAGAAATCATAAAAAAATTATGGTAAATTTTAATATATATATTTTATTACTTTTATTTTTATTATCTATTTATTTTTTAATTATATATTATGTTATTTTTATTTTTTATTAATTAATTTTTTATTCATTCTTATTTAATATGTCGTTTTTAATTTATTTGATTTTGAATATTATATTAAATATTTTTTTTTCTAATTTTTTAGATTATATTTAAATTTCGACTATTTCATTTAAAAGAATATTAAAGAAATTCATAAAGAAAATTAAGATAAATTTTAGTAATTTATAAAAATTACTAAATTTTAATTTTAGTACTTTCACTTTTATTTTGTATATATTCTTTTATTTATTTTTTGTTATTTTTATTTTTTTACTAATCAATTCTTATTTATTTTTATTCTATATGTATTTTTTCTAATTAATTTGGTTTACAATATTACTATTTTAATTCTTTTTTTTTTGTTGAAAAATTGAAATTATATTTAAAGTTGGATCTTTTGTTTTTATTTAATATGAATTGTTAATAAATATTTTTAATCTAATTTATATTTGATTTCATTTGAAATATGAATTTTGTAATTTATAATTTTTATTATTTAATATTCTGCAATATTTAGTTTTACTTTTGTTAGTGTATTTATTTATTTTTATTTTTTTTTGTTGATATGTTATTTGAAAAAATTGCTATAGTGGCGATTAAAAAACAAAGAAAACGCCGTAAGAAAATCTAGATTTTTTTTCATCGATAGATATAAATTTATTTTAAAATTTATTGTAATGTTTTATTTAATAAGATTGTAAATAAATATTTTAAATTTAATTTAGGTTTGAATTTAAAATGGTATATAAATTTTATTTGATTTATAATTTACTTACTTGATATTATTTGTTTGTTTTTCTTTTCATTAATATATATATATATATTATTTAGTATGTCGTTTGAATATTTTTTTCAACTGAAGGCTAACAACCCCGTATATAAATAATGATAAATTTCTTTCAAATTTATTTTGATTTTTAATTTAAGAGTGATTATAATAATTATTTTTTATCTCTATTGTCTTTGAGTTTAAATTAAAACATATATTTATGAATCTTTAACTAGCTTACTTAATATTTTTTATTTGTTTAGTTGCTATATTTTTTATTTTTGTTTATTTTTTATATAAATTAATTTTGGCTATTTTCACACAAATTTTTATAGTTAAAATAAAATTTATTATTTAAAATATAAAATTAAATTAATATCACAATTTTTATAATTACTCACGCTATTCAACCAAGAACAGGCCTCGAAATTCCTCGATGATCATCTCCGGCTATGGCTCTTTAAGGAAGACGAGCGCAGGCTGGTGGTTCAGTTTGCATTGGAAAAAGCCGACGAATTGATTAGCTTGTTGGCGGACGTCGATTCAAGATGGGATTCCGTCGAGATTCCGTGTGATGTGTCAGTAAAACACGGCCATGATTTTAGCGATGACTGAATTCTATAAAGGTGTTGGAGACTCTCGTTTGCGGGCATGTGATTAATGACTGTGTTTTCCTAATAATTTGAATTTTTAGGTGAGACGGTTGTTTAGCATCCGATATGGTATCAGAGTGGTCTCAAAACATTTTTTAATATAATAAATTTTAATAAATTATTATTATTATATATAAAATAAAATAAAATTTAAAAAGAATAAAACCATAAATTACTTTGATATATAGATATATAAAGTACTATGAATTTTGATAGAGATTAACATTGTTGTATAGTAAAAAAAAAAGTAAATTGTAAATCTTTGTGTTTTACTATAAATGTATAAAATACGACTCATTTTTCATTTATATTTATTTTACTTTTTGGATTGTAATAGAAATATTCTTATTATATCTTTTAGTAAAAAAAAAAAAATGGTACTTTTTATTAAATAAAAGAATATTATAATTATTTTACACAATTTTTATGACAAAAATATAATTAAATTTATTCTCATTTTCTTTTTTAGTCAATTCGTTAAATTTATCTTATTACTATTTTTACAAAGTTAACAAATCAACATTTAATTATTATCCTTCATTAATACGTATTTACAATCAATACGATTAACTTTATTACATTTTTTTTTCTGCATTTACTTTAATTTTTGACTAAATTTTTAAAAATACACCAAGTAGCTATCACTTTCTCAACAAAATATTCAATTTTTCTTAATCTCGGACCCAAATAAACTAATTTTAGTAGACAGAGAAAGTATATCAATATAGTGGGTTTAAGCCTTATGTGGGTTCCAACATTTGGAAAAAAAAAAAAAAAAAAACCTAAGTAAAAATGCCTCCTCATTTTCATAAATACAGTAACTTATTTTAAATATGTTATTATTTTTTTAGGGTAAACTGTTTTTTCAGTCCCGTAACTGGACTCACTTATCATTTTAGTCTCGTAAGTGAAGCCTGTCGCAAACTAGTCCCATAAGTGAAAAATTTTCGCTATTTTAGTCCTCCGGCGCCGGAGATGCCCGCGTGGCTCGCCGGAGGTGACGTGTCCGCCAGGTGTCGCTGACCTGGCGGACACGTGGATTTTTTATTTTATTTTTTATTTTTTCTAAATTTTTTTTAAAACTTATTTTTAATTTATTTTAAATTTTATTTGTATTTTTTATTTTTTTATTTGATCCAATTAAAAAAACTTAACAAAATAAAAATAAAAAATAAAAAATCCACGTGTCCGCCAGGTCAGCGACACCTGGCGGACACGTCACCTCCGGCGAGCCACGCAGGCGTCTCCGGCGCCGGAGGACTAAAACAACGAAAATTTTCTCACTTATAGGACTAGTTTGCGACATGCTCCACTTACATGACTAAAATGATAAAGGAGTCCAACTACGGGACTAAAAAAAAGTTTACCTATTTTTTAAAAATATCTAAAAATATTATATATATATATATATATATAAAATAAAAATAGATATATATTCTATTCTAACTAACAAAAGCCTAAAAAATTCGTAAACACCAGAGAACACAGCCAATGAATTCAATTATGATGAGCAATGA